GTAATGAAAGGTGCAAAGATATAGAGTTAGAAAAACAAAAGGGAAAATCCCATTCAACATTTCTCAAGCTGAAAGAACTGAGGGAAAAAAGTCAAGCCTCAATTTATAATACTGAAGGATTATTTGGGCAAAATATTGAATGATGCAGGGAGCATCAAAAAAAGATGGAAAGAATGCAGAGTCACTGTACCAAAAAGAAATAGTCAGTGTTCAACCACTTCAAGAGGTAGCATATGGTCAAGAGCCAATGAAACTGCAGGAAGAAGTGAATAAGTCTTCAGAAATTGATGAAATACAAATTGAAATATTTCCACAAACTGATGTGGCACTGGAGGTACTCACTTATCTATGTATGCCAAGAAATTTGGAAGAGAGCTACCTGACCAACAGATTGAAAGAGCTCCATATCTGTTCCCATTCCAAAGAGAGGTGACCCAATAGAATGTGGAAATCACTGGGCAATATTATTAATATCACATGGAAGTTAAATATTGCTAAAGATAATTCAAAAATCATTGCACGAGTAGGTTGACAGGGAATTGCCAGATGTTCATGCTGGATTCAGATGAGGATGTGGAAGGAGGGATATTATTGCTGACATCACAGGGATCATGGCTGAAAGCAGAGAATACCAGAAAGATGTGTACCTATGCTTCATTGACTATATAAAGGCTTTCAATTGTGTGGAACATGACAAGGTGTGGATAACATTGTGAGGAATGGGTATTCTGGAACACTTAATTGTGCTCATGAGGAACCTGTACTTAGACCAATAGGCAGTCATATAAGAAAAATAAGGGAACACTGAATGGTTTAAAATTAGTAGAGGTGGATTCCAGGGTTGTATTCTTTCACCATTACATATTGAATCTGTATACTGAGCAAATAATCCAGGAAGATTGATTATATGAAAAATGTGATATCAGGATTAGGGATGACTCATTTAAAACTGTGATACACAGGTAATACAAACTTTACAAGGTCAGGAAATCCTTGTTCAAATTTTCTGGAGTTGGGCAAATGTCTTCAGGCTGAAGCTGACTTTAGGGATTTGTTTTCCTCTTTAGGTTCTTGCTTTTACTAAATTTTTAGACTCTGAGCTTTCATTATTTTCTTGCCAGCACAATAGCATTGTTACACATTGTGTTTTAGATTTTATCCTTAATATCTGGTATGCTCAATTTGATGAACTTGACCTACACCTATGGATGCAGTAATTCAAAAGAGGGAACAAATCCTTACAGCAATAATCATTCCCACCCGCTCCACACACAGAGTAGACAGAGATGGGCAACTTGGACATAGGATACAAAATAGCGGGGGAGGGGACTACAAAGGCAAGAAGTGACGGCTTACAAACTTTCAAGAGGGGACCTAGAGCCAGGAAGGCAGAATCTCCAGTGAGTACTATCCAATCTGTCTAGGCGGAGCTGATGAAATGAAACACAGATGGGTCACTTGTGATACAATAGTGAATAATTGTTATCAGGACTGATTGTGAGGGTTGGAAATGTAAAGG